TGGCAGAACACTTTTCAAATCAAGAAGATCCTGTGTTTGAATCCACCACCTTTCAGTGCCTGCATGTTCCTGTGGGTACTTCAGATTCCTCCACCACAATCTGTCCAACACATCCAACTTATTCCATCTAAAGTGTTTGTTTGATGACCACAGTTTCTTTTTTAAATTTATGTTGACTCACTGCCAGCACAGAGAAAGGAAGTGAAAATTTAGTGGTTCCTCTTGGTTCCACCTCCTCTCTCTTTGGCTGTTCCATCACATGTTGTACCATCTTTAAATATCTTTTTGTTTTTGTCTGTTATTGAAATATAACTGTCAAACATTCACATTAGGCTGTTTGGTATATAGAACACTTTAACAAGGTGACCTCAGACACTTTTTGAAGAAATCTTTGTGTGGATTTTTTTCCATCCTGATGATCAGAAGAGTGTTTGAAGGTGTCAGAGATCCTTCAGAACAACAGTAAGTGTTTAAAATTAACGCCTTTCAGTCTTTTAGGTAATCTGACAGGTTGACTGAAGTCTGTGAGCTTCAGTCGATTAACACAAACATAAAAAAAATCACCTCAACCAAGTGGAAATGTACTCAGTTACTCGCCTCTACTCTGATTACAGTCATGTCTGTTTTCTCTGTGTCTGTTTCTGCTATTCTTTGTCTCTCACTGTAAATATGTTTGTTTTGTTCTGTGGAGATCATTCAAGAACTGAACCTGTTCTGCTCTTTAATGATGACGCACTTTCTGATCTTCCTGCTGTCCAGCCTCTGATGTGACTTCCTTCAGAGACGTTGAGAAGTGTTGAGTTTGGACGAGTGTCTGAAAGACAAATCTTGTAGTTTTATTTAATCCTTAAATTTAATTTCATGTAGTCAGATTTTAAAGTCAGGTTCTGTTATTCTGTCATAGGAGATACCAAAGGTTCAGATTTTATGAAAATCAACGTGTCAGATGAAAATCAACGTGTCAGATCAGCAGACCTGGACAACACGGAAATGTCTGCTGTAACTGCATTGGCTTTGCTGTTTGTCGGTGTCTTCATGTTTGTCTCTGCAGGTGAGATTTATAAGGATGTTTTTATTAAGAGAAATAAACAGTGTCTGCGTTGTTTAAATGTTACTTCTCAAATGTTTATTTTCATATTTCATATTCAGTTTGTTTATGTCTTTGAGGGCATCACGAGTTGTTGTTTGTGTGAACATAAGTGCTTGGTCTGCAATTTGAACCACAGAGACAAAGAACTGTAATGTGTGTGTGTCCGTGTGATGTGTTGTAGTTCCAATTGTCAGTATACAAATCTTCTTGGTTACAGTATAAATTTAAGCTATGATACAGCAGCTGCCTGCATAATAACAATCCTATTTTTTGTAGATATTGTCATAATATTCAGATCAGCTGATGGGTGGAGCTGGGGTTGCTGTTGCACTGTAATGCATTGGCAGCATTTGCCCTCATGGTGACAATCACAATGAACACTTCATATTTTCTCCCTCTTTTATTTTCACCTACCTCCACCTCTGGAGGCCCGGCAACTCCACCTTATTGCCTCTGGATAACTCAGTATCATAGGCACACTCATTAACTGATCCCATGTGTGAAAGACAAAGCCTCCCAATAAAGTCATTAATAATTAGGATTCTTGATTAGTGAAAATACAGTCACTCAGCATAGCAATAAGGTAACCACAAAAGATCAATAATGCAATACATTAAAATAATACAAATAATTCAATAACCTCTCTGCTCTGAATTGTTTCCTCTTTCAGAGCAGAAAACTATCACAGCTGAGTCTGGACAGGACGTCACTCTGACATGTCGAGCTCCGAATGACAACAT